CCACCAGAACGAGGTTTTTATCTTGCCTCTTTCCTGAGGTATTAACGTTTTTGTGCGTTTAGTCTAAAATCATTTTTTTCATAAAATCGTTAATTTTAAACTGTAGCGTCATTAAAATACAAATTTGGTCTTTATTTTGAAAACTACATCAAATTTTCCACAATATAACATTTCCGTTGAAAAATTCACGTTTCCGAATACTCCAAGGAAACTTGTACATTTTCTAAAACTTTTCTTAGTGAAATCTCAATTTTACCAACTGATAAATGTTTTTAGTATGACAGTAGCCGCTCAAAGAATAACAAATGGAACACCCATGGTTTTTAGAAAATACTCAATTGTGGCTCATACATCTTGAGATAACTTTTCCATCAAAATTTTCGGGGATTTCACCTAAGTTGCCTTATTTTATAAGTATTCCAAGGACGTACTCACTTGTACAATTTTTAGAACTTTTCTTAGTGAAATCTCGATTTTACCAACTGATAAATGTTTGTGATATGACATGTACGATGTTCTTGGGTTGCTGCTCTTATTCGGTTCGATATCACGTTTTACAACATTGCAAAAGAGATTTCACTACGAAAAGTTCTAAAAAATGTAAAAGTGAGTTTGTTCTTAGAATACTATAAAATAAGGCAACTTTTGTGAAATCCCCGAAAATTTTGATGGAAAAATCATTGTAAGAGCCATAATTGAGTATTTCCACAAACAAATTGGTTTTGCTATTTGTTTTTCTTTGAGCGGCAACTCCGTATTCGGAAGGGCAATTTTTTCAACGGAAATCTCGTTATCTTATGGAAAATTTAATGTAGTTTGCGAAATAAAAGTCAGATTTGTTTTTTAATGATGATAAAATTGAGAAATTACGATTTTATGTTAAAAAATCTCATTTTAGTCTAAAATTACAAAAATGTTAATATCTCAAGAAAGAGACAAGTTAGAAACCTCGTTCTGGTGGCACTGAACTACGATTTATTTAGTGAACACACCATATATTGAAATTTAACCCTGTAACACCTCTATATCATAGTAAAATAAAAATAAAAATTTCCCTTACGTAAAAAAGTAATAATATTTAAAATTTCCAGCTTTTTCTGTAAACATGTCAAAGCATTTAATTAAAGTTAAGCAAAAACTCGTTTTATACCCCAGTAAAAGATTGAGTTTACTTTTTAAAAATTAATTTGTAGAGAGTCATTACAGCATAAAAAAAATAAAATTTCAAAACTAGACATAAAAGTACATTTACATTTAATGTAATTATAAAAATACGTATACGTTTTTACACGTTATGATTATGAAAAAATGGATCGCCAATATGTGATGAGTCATTAGAAGTCGAACTAGGCGAGGAATACACGCGGAAGACCCTCAACTAGTTCTATGAAAGGCACATGAAAGAGGTTAAAGTTTCTTAAGTGCTGATTCGGAACATTCAAATGAAAGGAGGAGACCAACATAGGAGCATCAATGTCACAATTAAGAACTCTCCAACAAAAGTGAGCGAACCGGCAACTCTACGCAGGTTTAGAATATCCAGCCTCAACAGCTTTAAGTTCATCGCAGTGTGACAAGTCTCCCTCCTACCCGATGATACCCAGATTTTTAACACTAAATATTGCACCTCTTTATGTTTGCACTCTCTCAAGTCTGTCCACATCACATCGATTAACAGAAAACCAAACAACACTTGCATACTCCATATGGCTTCTAACAAGGACTGAAGAGGAGTTTGAATGCAAAGGGATTGGTGAAGTACGAGTGATTCCCTTAATAAAACCAAGATTACTATAGGGTTTTTTTTGTGGTTTCAAAGTGGTCTGGGAAATCACCGTCGGAGTTGAAAATAACATCAATATTAGAAACTTTGGTGTCCTCTTCAATAACATTTCCATTGGTAGTATAGCGAAAGTTAATACTATATGATTTTGGAACTATTGCCTACTGGAGAAGCAGTAAAATTTACACTTTTCACCAATAATGTCTAACTTGTTTAATCGGCCTCAGTTCTCAAATGCATCTAGCTCTCTTGAAGAAGAATCACTCCCACAATCCATTTCCTTAAACAACTTTAAATTATCAGCTAAATGACGATTGTTAATAACCCCTAGTAATATCATTGAAGAAAATCAAAAATAAAATTGGCCCGATGTGTGAGCCCTAAGGAACACCCGAGTCAATTCGACCACATCAGAAACACCTTCATAAGTGACAGCAGATCTATTAACCAAGAAACCCACATCTTCACAAGGGAATTAATTTAATCTAGATCGAAATCGACAAAATGGAAAAATTTGTTTGGATTCCAGGAAGGAGTTAAAAAAGCCTTTTTGCTTGAAATAATTAATGATTATCCGGAGATCGTGAGATGCGGTCTGGTGTGACGTAGGTTTTAGAAAAACATTTTCTTTATCGTGCCAACGTTTCGATCTTTATTGAGATCATCTTCAGGGCTCAAAGTGTTTGTTTTCTGCGTAGTTGTGTCATTCTTGTATGTAGATGTGACTCTCATCGCGACACAGAAAAATGACACAATAACACAGAAAAGAAACACTTCGAGCCCTGAAGATGATCTCAATAAAGATCGAAACGTTGGCACAATAAGGAAAATGTTTTTCTAAAACCTACGTCACACCAGACCGCATCTAACGATCTTCGAATAATAATGAAATTTATAAGTTTGTATCTATATATAATTATCAACAATAGCGCCAGTTACTATCTTTTTATAAATATTGTTTATTAAATGAAAAGGTAGTAAAACATAGCAAAACAGTTTTATTTTATAATTTATTTTTAACAAAATGATGAATGCGATGCATGAATTAAGGTTTGTACAGCCAGAGTTTTTTTGTTTTTTGGTGGGAGGGGTTTTGACCAATATTTTCATAAACACATAGGTGTTCATATAGGCAGTCGGTCATCAGTCATCATTCTTTGCCAATTATGTACAGCAGGAGAAAATATAAATAATCCCTTCTCTATGAATGGAAAATGTGGAGGAAAATTATATTTAGTAGTAACGGAATATGCGATGTTTCATTCCATCATCCAGTGGATAATATAAATTGATCATTGTTATGCAAAGATAAATATCTTTTCAGGATTTAATTTAAACAGTTAATGTAATGGATTAGAAACAACTGGGAACATATTATTGTTCATTTTCCGACCAATACTCGTACACGATCCTAAATAATATGAACTACATAGCAAAGACGATGATTGGTGAAGATGGCACATGAGAATTTTATGAACTTTGTCCAAGCCGAAGGAGTTAGATAATTTTCGCTTTAGGAGTAGTGAACATTCTTTTTGATTGTGTTAATGTTTTCCTTTTGGGCGGATTTCCAATATAGCAATTATACTCATAAAAACCGTAATATATTTTTTTTTCTGTTCAGCGCACACGCATCCCTTAACCTTTAGTGTAAATGAAATGGATGTATTGGTGTATATATCGTTGTGCTACTTTATCAACAGAATGCATTATTTCAAACATCACTGTGTAACATAGAAGTATCTTTCACATGCAGTGTGCCTTTCTTTAATATGCACACACATTCCTCTCAGTACCTAGACCTGTACCGACGCAGGTGTAAGGCAGGAAGAAAAAAGTCGATTGTGCAAAAACGTACTCCACTTAACTCATTCCGGTTGAAAAGAGATACCTAAAGCGTTTTCCACCTCCGGAACCGAGTTACAAGTTGTGGCAGGTTGCAATTGATCATAAGAAACTAGTTCGTTCCGCTCTGCGAAACGAATGAGCTCGCCATTCAGACCCAACAGGGTAGACCTAATTCGTGGGAGTGTTTTGAGAAAATTTCGCCCACATGGCCTAAGAGAGTTTATTGATAAAATCTATGAAACAATAAAGGAAAAAAGAAAATAATAAGAGATCTGATACGTTATACATCTCATCTTTCTGATGTTATGAAAAGTCAATCAACCTATTCTATACATTGCTTTTATACTATACACTTCAAAAATGGACAGTAGGAAAAAGAAGACGAAACAATAATTATAGAATTTCATCTTTTTAAAAATAATAATTAACACAATTTTCTTCAAGAGATGACCTCTGAACAGTTTGTAAACAAATATTGGAAAAAGAAAGTTTAAAACATATAATTTTTATTGGAAGAAGATGAAAAGTTTCTCCTTGTTACATTTTCTAAGTTTTAAGTAATTTGATCCTATAACTCAAGTCCATTATTATTTCGTAAATTCCCTGAAAAAATGTAGCATGTAAGCCATCGTTTGATGAATTTTAAGTTCAATTAATTATTCTTTTTCTCTAAGGTCTTGGTTGAGATGAAAAACCTAGTGTCACGATTGAGATTCGAACCCACGACCTTCAGCTTAATCCGCTGCTGCTCTAACCACATAAGCTATCGTAACTTAGATCTGCTCGGATATCAACTCTTCATCTCAACCTACAACCGTATGAATTTTCCCTCTTTATGTCATATTTCCAAATATCGTGTAATCAGGATTCGATTCTCGGCGACTTACGAAGTGGCGATTGGGAGCTGTTAGCGAAGTAAGTATTCTGTAATTCTAATTAATTATACTTTTTATCTAAAGTCTAGATAGAGATGAAAAGCTAGTGTCACGAGCGGGATTCGAACCCACGACCTTCGACTTAATATGCCGCTGCTCTAACCATTTGAGCTATCGGACATCAACTCACCATTTCAAGCTGCGGCGTACTGAGACGAAGTTCGTGGGTCCGAATCGCGCACGTGACACTAACTTTTTCATCTCATCCAAGACCTTAAATAAAAAGAATAATTGTTTAAAATAATTAATACGGTCAATTATGACTACTAGATACTTATATGGTATAAGTCCAATGTTATCAAAATGGTAAACTCCTAACAAGCAATAGTTTAGAAACAAACAACTAGTTATTAGTTTCAAGAGCATAGATAAATATTATATAAAAGCTCTAGGAATAACACTAGGAACAATTACAATAATAAAAGTAGGCTTACCCTGAGGTCAAGTTGTTAGGCCACATCTTAGCCTCGGATCTGTCAACAGAGAAATGACTTTTTAAATAAACAACGTTTACAATTTTTATCACATTTTACATATTTACAATCTCATACTTAATAAAACTCCTGTTTGTATTGCATATCACGTGTTAAGGATGGGCGCAGAGTTAAAAATTGGGTAAAAAGCGTTCATCGCCAAGCCGGCGTAAGCTTTGATTCGTTGGATCATAGAAACGAGAAAATATTTTTCGTTGTTCACATCGCTGCCGACGTTTCAATCCGGGTTGCCGAGCTTCTCGTAAATGCAACTGACATTTTGTGTTTGTTTTAATTATAATTTGACTCCTGAAAAGAAAATATTTATTTGGCTAAATAAAAAAAAATAAAATTTAAAAATGGCTCAATGTGTACATGTATATATATATATATGCCCACAAAAACTAAGACTATCTACTGATTTTGATTATAAATAGAGTCGATCAATGTTGGCCAGACTAATCCCTATCGTTATTTATAATTTGGTTATTGTAGTTTACATAATTCTAAACCAAAAGCTTGCCTTTTGTATGAAACTTAAAGAATAACTGCCAATGCAACAATTGTTGGTTGGGTAAATATTTCCATGTTCGCATAACTCCACAGGGGAAAGTAATACAATATCGTTGGTGTTAACTAATTCTGCGCCACTATCATTCGGATTTGGTAAGCAAATCCTTTGGGCAAACATAATTCCAGAAGGCATCTGTAGGGGCTGAAACATTTGAGAGGGGTGTTGGACAGCTGTGTTAAAGTTCTGTAGACCTAATCCTCACGGCATTTAATATAAACCACCCCCTTCTTTTTACACTGAGTATCGAATGTGCGACATTCAATACGGAGTTAAAGTTAAAGACAATTTCGACATTGGGATGAATTGGGGTAGAATCAGATTGACAGCAGGTGTCTGCATCTCGTAGGATCCGTCCGATAATTTGTTGAGTGGAGACGAAGAACAGTCAAGTGGGTTTCTTTACCTCAGGTGCAATATAGCGTGAATGCTCAAGTATAAGAGAACAAAGCAGTCCTAAAGTAAATATCTGTAGTACTTCAACACAATGCCGAGGAACGAAGGGAACAATTTGTACTTGAGGAGCCCATTCATCGCTTTCCTCTCTGCCAACGCCAATTCTCTCTTTATTCACTCGCCCGTGAAAAATCCTAGCAAGAATGCGAGTACTCGTCAACAATAAAACACACGATTTGGAGAGGATTTTTATTGATAATTCGATATACTTAATCGATAAAGTCCTTTTTTTCATAAATTTTCTTTATATTTCAGAAAAGCTTGATCTGTAGTTTGATCGTTCCCGATAGTTTTGGACTGTCAGATTCTTCTCTCCACCTTCAGATGGTTTAGCTATATAAACCTCTCTAACCATATAATCTTGTTAACGAGTCAAAGGGAACAATCATATATTAACAAAATATGGACTTAAAATATTATAAAGATCAAAACGCTATTAGGATCAAATGGAGGATAGGAGGGGAATCTGTATGAAAATATATAAGAAATAATGTATTCTACAAGTGTCTGATCTGTCTCACGACTGTACGGCAAAATTACACAAAACCAGTATAAACAATCTAGTACTATTTCAGTAAAACATTGTACTGAGAGGCTTAAAAAATGACCGCCCTAGTTTTTTTCTAAATACTTGCAATCATATAATTTTTATTTTTTGTTGTTTGCTGGATTTACAGTACAACTACTTTGATTGAGTTTAAAATTTCTATCATTGTATAAATTCATTTTTCATCTTACATATTTGTACATACATTTAAACAATGTTTATAAATCCCAGGCCCTGAAGGTGATCTCAATGAAGTTCGAAACGTTGGCACGATAAAGAAACCTACGTCACACCAAACCGCATCCCACGATCTCTAAAATATGATTAAACAAAATTAAACCGAGTAAAACAATTTTATGAAAAATGTTGCCATAAAATAACGAAGAAAATATTCAATTCAGTTGATCACCGCTTGCATTCAACGTGGTTGAGGTTTTGACTGTAGTACTGTGGAATATTTTCATACTCCTCCAACAGCTCCATTCGTAATTCCTGCAAATTCTTTGGACTAAATGCTGGCCACTCCAAACATCGAATTGAAGCCTCGTAGTCATCAACGATCCTATGTGTGGGGTCTTGTATTTTCATGCATAAAAATAAAACCGTCGCCAATTTCTAGCATACAAGGAACAACTTCTACTGTTAATACATCTTCAATGTATCGCTCAGCTTTTGGCGTACCCTCGATGAAGATCATTGAGTTTCAGACCTTTTAGAGAAATGTCTGTCCATAACATAACACCACCACCTCCATAGCTTCTCCGGAGTGAAACTGTTTCGGGGATATACCGAACTCCTGTTCTTCTCCAAACCATCTCTCGGCCGACAGAAGACCTCAAATAACACCTTGACTAATCCGAAAATAACATTTTAGTCCAATCTTGTTCAGACCAATTGGTGTGATTTTTTGCGAAACTTCTGTGGATTTTCTCGCACCTAATCCAGCTTCTAAAACTCTTCGGCTTACAGTGGATAAACTTTCGTTAACATTTCCATCTTGCTGAAGTCGTTTCTTCAGCTCAACAGATGTGCACGATGGCAACCTCCAGTATCTTGGTAGCGATGGACACGTGGACTATGGACAGTGGTTCTTGGAATGTTAAGCACCCTGACCACTTGGTTGGCATTGTTGGAAGACTTCTTCCATCATCCAACAATGCTATGATTCTAGCCGAATCTGTATCATTTAAAACCGTCACTCAAACAAATTTGAGACTTGCAAAAAATCAAACCACTGGAACGTTAGAAACAAACTTTACAGAAAAACCAACAAAGAACAGATTGACTATTCAAAGATTTATTTACAAACATTTTGTCTTTGTTTTATTTAATTACCTCTATTCCTTTAAAACGGACAGAGAAGCTGCATAAGAGATAATTCAAAATATTAAGGGTGGCTTTTTTCTCTCTCAGTGTATTTTCCATAACATTTCACTAATGGCTTCTTATAAATTATAAAATCAATAAAAAGGAAAAAAAATTAATGGTCGCAACTTAATCAAAGTTCAAGGAGCTGTTAATTTCTCGTTTCGTTAACACAAAACCAGCCAGCTTAAGTTGGCAAAGCTTGCGTGAAATGTAAACACGACACATGGGTAATTCATCGGCTTCAAGCCAGGGATTATCTAAATCCGTTCCGTTATTACGCTTATCTCTTGTTCAATGTATTGTAACTTTCATTGCCTGACCGCGGACAAACGTGGAGAAATTTCCCCGGTTCCATAGTTTTTTGCCACCATGATGTCACACGTAGTTTCCCTAACCTTTATGAACTGCAAGATTTCTAATCGAGTTGTATTTGCTGTCTAATGACAACATTATCTAATTATAATATGTATATATTTCATTGGTGCAAATGTTTTGATTTCAAATTTTTTCTGTAAGAAGATCGAACAATTTTAAAACACAACCTATGCGTCCCTGAGCATTCGGAACATAGAGGCAATGAGAGGGCGGATTTATTGGCCTAAAAAGGAGCCAATATAAATTATATAGGCCCCGAACCCTTTATATGGCCAGCACCTCGTCGCAAAAATGGATACATCCAAAAATGTGGAAGGTTATCAACACCTCCAAGACAGCAGTTGGCGTTTTACTCATGGCTCCATTGACAGAGGAAACTTCACTTTGAGTGCCATTTAATTACCTGACCGTTATGTATTTTATAAGAAAAGAATTTAAGACTCACATTGCTCGGAATTGCTGATGCCTTACGACACGGTAGATGGGTTTGAAAAACAACAAAACCCCATAAAAAATTATCTAACATTGACACTATTGTTATAAAACAGACTACTCGAACTAGAAAACGTCTTCTGGCACAAAAATATATTTTAGGTATATTCGAAGTAAGAAAACACGGAGAAAAAATCGTAGAACGGTCTATATTTGATGTGGCTTCGTGGAGTTTAGACTGTAAGTAGTAATAATAATAATAATAATAAATTTATTTAGACTTCGTGAGATGCGGTCTGGTGTGATGTAGGTTTCAGAAAAACATTTTCTTTATCGTGCAAACGTTTCGATCTTTATTGAGATCATCTTCAGGGCTCAAAGTGTTTGTTTTCTGCGTATTTGTGCCATTCTTGTGTCTTGTTGAGAGTGACTCTCTGTGTGACACGACACGACACGCAAGAATGGCACAATTACGCAGAAAACAAACACTTTGAGCCCTGAAGATGATCTCAATAAAGATCGAAACGTTGGCACGATAAAGAAAATGTTTTTCTGAAACCTACATCACACCAGACCGCATCTCACGATTTCCAAATAAATATCGATTAACGGTCACTAATCACCACACACTTTACTAGTTAAATTTTGTACTATCCGTAGTGTGGACCAAATTAATTGGTGATGATTTCTGTTTATCGGATATAATCAGGAAAAAACTTGCATTTTCGTTGTTATTCTAAATTTAAATAAATGTTGTAAAAAAAGTAAACATTTTATTTAATATATGTACATATATGAAATAATCTCGCTTTTTTAAATAAAGATTTCTAAATAAATATCGATTAACGGTCACTAATCACCACACAATAATAATAAACGTAAACATTTCCTTTGTAGAATAGAATTAAATTTAAATAATCAGTGTACCTATTTACTTACAAAAATAAAGGCTTTTTGTTCTTGTATTTGCTACAGAAAAGAAAAACGAAATTAAGAAAGTGTTGGAATAAATATTACATATTAAACCCAAAAAATGAATTAGTTTAAATCATTTTTTGTATGTAATATTCTTTGTTTTAAATAAGTTATTAAGTTATTCTCATTTTCTACTTATTAATTTATAATTTAACATAAGTAGTTTATTTGCTGAAACAATTTGCAGCAGATGATCTTAAATCAGTTTGAACAACAGTGAAAGTATGTAAATAATGTATAAGAGGGTGCAATACCTCCAAAATACACTACTAATCAATTCTTCGCTGTCATTTTTTATATTCTCTAAAAACACTGGTTTTTGAAAATATGTCAAAACTTGGTAGGTCTTATTTGAAAAATTAAAGATATAACATTGACATTAAAAAAGTACTAACTTTTTATTATTTTTATCAAATTATTATCATATTTACTAAATTAATTATACATGTTTTTTCGAAATGAAAAATTGGTGTTACAGGCGGGATTCGAACCGACGACTTGCGGGTAAATATGCCGCTGGTCTACCCCACTTGAGCTATCTTGACTTTGATCACCCATGCCACAAATTTTTCATTTCGACTCCCG